CCTTGATATCTCTGGGTTTGTAAAGTCATTTTTTGTAAGAAAAGGAGGCAGGCAGAGGTTTTTTGTTTTGTTTTTTAAGTTTGGAGATTTTCAGAAGATTCTCAGCATTAAATTTCAGAGAAACTTTGGTATTTAAAAAGTGTAGGATAAGCCCCTGGCTGCTGTCATGTGCAAGTGTGTGTGGGGAGTTGGGAAACCTGGCCACAAGCCACTGCAGCTTTGAAGAACGTGGCTCAAGGGAGGACTCGCGATCCATTGCGTAACATTTAGCAGAGAGGAAAATACAGGCTCTGTCCCCATCACTTGACTTGTTTTCCATTTTGATTTAGTTCCTTGGCAAAGTCTTGGTGTCCTGTAGTGGAGGAATGAAAGACAAGCAAGTTCCAAAGAAGGACTGGGCCTCTAACGGCATCAGCCAATGGGTGGTTTGTGGGGCTGTGCCAGGGTTAGATTTCTTATTGTTGTTGGGCAGGGGGACTAGAGTTTCCAGAGACAGCTTGAAAAACATCATCGTATGATAACCTGCATTTCTTTTCTGAAAGGGAATGCTTCCCCTGTCAACACTGTGTGCTTGTGGTTGATATACCTGTGCTTTAAAATATCACAGGTATTGGGAGGGGCCATTTTATAGCAAAATAATTTCCCCTCATGTTCTGTGATGCTTCAGTTTGGCAGTATTGTTTACAAGGTTTGAAATCAAAAGCAGCATCGGTTCCTTCAGGGAAAAATGATCCCAATCTACCAAAGTAAAAGCCAGACAGACTCTAATTGTTGCTTTTCCCACAAGGGGTTGCCTTGACAGGACCCTTCTCTAGCAGGGTTAGAGACTGGGAATTGTCCTTCCCCCTGGGTAAAACCCATTTTTAATCTCATTTTTAAATAGACCTCAAGCGTCTTTGAAAATAAAAGTACTTGAGTATATCTCCATTCTCTAGTCCCCTCCCTCTCAGCAGGGAGACTCCAGTTTTCTCACAGGCACCTCCTGCTGCAGTGCCTAATCCTAATTTTTCTTTACTGTCACTCAGGCTAAATTAGGAAAGATTTCAGCTTTATAGATTTTATTGAGCTGTCCACGTGTTGTGAAAAATTAAGTACATGTTTTAATCAGGGGGCTAATTTTTTTTCTCATTTTCCATCAAGCCTAGTTCCATAAATTTTACATCAGGTTTTTTCTGCTGGCTGTTTAGTGTTCATTAGAATATCTAGAACAGCAGCCTCCACTTTATTGAGTCTTCCTTCCCTACTTTGATTAGAGGTATAAGACCATTCTGCTCATGAATCCTTATTCTCTATGTCAGCTGCTCCACTCCTTGGAGACTAGAAAAACATCCTTATATGATACTTCTAAATTTTTCTCAATCCATAAGGATTTTCAAACGAAACCAAGCCTTTTTCTTCTGTCTGCTGTTCTCTTTCCCTTCCCCCCAAATCTTACAGCCCATGATTTGGCAACCCCATACAGGAGGCTCCTGAGCCACCAGTCACATGGGAATGAAAGAAAGCAAAGAAAGGACCAGATGGCATCAAAAGATAGGCCTTTCTAGGTCGTTGGTGGTTAAGCTTGCAGTCTGGTTACCAACAGGGAGATTATGGGGGAAAGGGTGGAGAGCAACCCCATTGTAAGGGAAGAAGAATTTTGCTATACAGTTCTTGTTTCATTAATTTGCTGGAGAGAAAAAACTTGCTCCTCCATGTGAATGGCTTTTCTAATTCAACTCTTTATAATTTAGAGTCAGATATACGTTGCTCTTGGAAGGGTGCCTTTACCTAAGTGGCACATAAGCACACGTGGAAAACTGTGTGCAGTATTTGGATGGTGACTGAAAAGTGTGGCTCCCCCTTGGTCAGCTGCTGTCCTTCAACTGCCATTGACCCTTTGTTATTCTGCTCTCCAAATGCCTGATCCACTTACAAATACAAAAACTGGAGGAAATGATATTAGTTCCCACAAGTTCATCTCTCCTCACAGGGAAGCTGAGGACATCATTCACCACTCATCCTTCACACTAATACCTATTTTTGAGGACTTGTATTTACCAAACAAGTAGAATGGCATCTTTGGCCTTTGTGAGACATGATGTCTCAGGGTATGTTTTCTGGGTGTAAGCTGTATCTTGGAGAATTTATAATTATTTGACTGAAGTGGCTACTAAAAAATATTTTGGAGGGCATTCTGCCTTCTCTGTTGATTTAAGTATTATTTAAACCTTGACTCCTTTGGCTTCAGTAACTCCTGATTTGACAGTGCTATTCCAGTCCTCCAGATTGCTGAATTTGGCTGGTATTTCCTTATAGAATTCCAACTCAGTTGTTTTCTCTTGAATGAAAGAAACTAAGGTATTTTTAGTTTTAGGTTTAAACTTGATCCCAACTTACAAATTTGGGTCCTTTACTCTTCTTTTGATTACCTGGAAAACTCTTGCTTTTTCATTTAGTACAAAGTTAAATCTTAGCCTCTTTTACAAGTCTACCTCTTCTCATTACAGTCTCTACTTTTATTAAGATTTTGTTGCCTTTGATATCTGTATGACTCATTTCAGTACGAAACAAATGGAACAAAATATTGTTTATTCTGTAGTCTAGATTATAAACTGTTTCTTTTTTACTATTCCTGCTCAAGCAAGTGTCTGAAACAGTGCTGGCTACACAAAAGTCATGTAACAAATATACAAAACACAGCTTTAATGACTGATTAAAAAAGAAAACATAGTTATTTTAATATTATGTTAGTTGATTGCAGCCTAGGTTAATAGAAAATTGACCTACCCATTTTTTCCCTTGACCTGAAACTATAGTAGGGAATCATTTTCTTAAACCAAAAAGTAAAAGATATTTCCTATATATACTGAATTTCTGGTTTTAAGTAATTTGAATAAAAGTGACAGGCTATTCTTGTGGCAACGAGCTTGTTGACTTTTTTAAAAAAAAATTTATTTTTTGTTGATATTGAAAACACACACAGCAGAACATAGACCGATTCAGTAATTTCTACATGTACAATTCAGTGGCATTGATTACATCCTTCAAGTTGTGCTGCTGGTTAACTTTTACTAGTTGCTTTGTTAACTTTTTAGGTAACTGAATTCAGAACCCCTTTGGGAGACTTTAATTATTAGCAAGAGAACTGCTATTCTCTCTCTCTACCCTCTAGTCACATCATATGAATATAGTTGTGAGGCATATGCCGCAATAATCCTGATGAAGAATTTCAAGGCAGTTTTTACTGTGTGTGTATGTGTGTGTGTTTTCCTTCTTCCAGTCTACCCAGCAAGAGCATTGTGTGATCCTGTGAGATTCCTCACCTATGAGATTTCCCAGTTGAAAATGAAAATTTTGCTAAAGGATGTATGTATGAATCTGAGAGGGTGACTTTAAAATTGTTAAATCTCATTAAAGGGAATCCATTGATATACCTGAAATTTAGAGAAAATTAAAAAAACATTCTTTTGTTCAAACCCCAGGTAAGTCAGGTTTCAGCCTGGAGCCAATTGTTAGAACTTAGTTATTGAACTCAATGAAGAGATTTGCCATGTAAATACTAATGGACCTTTAACTATTGCTGGGCTAGTGGGTGCTAGAAGAATCTTGACAGTTCATCAGACAAACCCCTGACCTTACTACCCTTAACCATCCTTGCTTGTCAGTGACGTAACTGGTTGCTTATCAAGCCTTCTCCTACCCCTCTTTCAAACTGTTAACATTTGAGAATTTCACATGACATTATTTCTTGTGTATTACGACTTAAAGCATAGTTTCATAGGTGAGCTAGGAAAACCATTTTGGCCCTCTTTGAGGAGAAAATGGAAGACATGTTTTGTTCTTGGTGCAGATTTAGAGACCGTTGCTGAAAGTACAATTTTTAGCTCTTTTGAGAAGTTAGGAGTAGCCTATAAACACCTTTGCGGATTTTCTTTTCAGACATGTTAACTGTTGAGATATGTCATGCCTTGTGAAGCGCAGGACAAAAGATGTGGATTAGTTTTGTTGTAGGATGGAATTATGTATACAGAATTCACTCTGATCATAAAGATCATAATTCCTTGGGGTCAGAGGGAAGGTAAATCCATGAGGTGCTGCTCTCTACTAGCATTTCCAGCAGAAATTTCTTCCAACTTTAAAATTTCCCACAGGATGGATGGATTAGAGAATGCTGTGATTTTTAGTAAAGGATTTTGTCAAATTTTTTTTTTTTCTTTTGCAGGAAAATGGAGGGGGTGGTGAGAGAGGGAGAGGGAGAGAAATAAAAATGAAAAGCTAATGAGTTGGTACACTTAGATATTAGGAAGCAGGGGACTATTTTATAGGTTGTTGTTTCAGTGGCTGCAGTTGACCACAGGGCCATATATTCTGTCTAACCCTATCCTAGCCAGTCACAAGGTTTTGCTGTTTCTATTGGGTTAAATCATATGAAATTGCCGTTTTTTTTAAGTAAGAAATGGTTGAATATCAAATTTCATATGGTTCAACCTAATATATAATAGCACGTCACCCTGTAGGACAGCTATAGTCGTAGAGAGGTGTGTGTGTGTGTGTGTGTGTGTGTGTGTGTGTGTGTGTAGGTAGGTAAAAGGTGGGAGGGATGAAATTGAAATTTGTGAGCATTTTATACCCTCTGGGTGAAAACCCGTACTTTAGCTTGTGGTTTTAGGCAATCAAACCAAATACAAGTGCCCTAGTATACTTTCCCACCTCAATATTTATACAGTTGAGACAGTTTATAGGGTGGGCTGAAAAGTAAGCAGTCTCTGACAGAGATAATCATTGGGGATAATAATCTGAAGTGACTGGTATTTGAAGAGTACAACAGAAATGGCAGAGACCAGAAAACAAGCATGCCTGTACTTGCAGCTACTTTGAAACAGAAGAATTAGGGGTGTAGTAAGATGGTTATAGGCTGAATAATGTGCAATTATTGTTTTCCTGAAAATAGGTTTGGGGATGTTTCTAGTGTAATATCCAAGCTGTGCTGATTTATTTAACTTTTTTTTTGTCTTTCTTAGACGAGCTCATCTGCGCCTGTGTTTAGAACGCTTAAAAGTTCTGATTCCATTAGGACCAGACTGCACCAGGCACACAACACTTGGTTTGCTCAACAAAGCCAAAGCACACATCAAGGTGAAAAATTTTACCTTCATATTTGCACATGGTTCTCTCAGTCCTGGTTTAATTATTAGCAATGATACGTACGTATTCATACACTTCAGCTAGCTCACCATGCCCTCCATAATAACTGACCTCAAGAGAAATATTTCTAAAAACTTATCAGCTATCTGAGGGGAGCAACATAACCTGATAAAACTAAATTGTTTTGACAGCATGGCCGTGTGAAGAGCTGGGAACACTAGGAAAATAACAATTACCTTCCTATCCACAGAAGAAAGGTAGTTGTGCCCTCTGCTGGAGATAACTTCACTTGGTTGTATCCCTCAGTATTTTTCCATCAAACGGCACACTGCAAAGGAAGTTTCTCCTTCATGGGGTGATTACAGACTTCAAGAATTCCATCTTGTTCAAATAATGTGGCTTTCATCACACACACAAAGAATGTGAAGACAGAACTACTTTTTTTACACACACATACTTAACGTACATGTATATTCATGTTTTCTCTGCCAAAGAAGAAATCTTTTGAGATGTTACATAGAAATCATTACGTTTTATTGTTTGTACTGGACTGTGCACGAATGTAAATATCATTTTATTATTTTAGAAACTTGAAGAAGCTGAAAGGAAGAGCCAGCACCAGCTTGAGAACTTGGAACGAGAACAAAGATTTTTAAAGCGGCGACTGGAACAGCTGCAGGGTCCGCAGGAGATGGAACGAATACGAATGGACAGCATTGGCTCAACTATTTCTTCAGATCGTTCTGATTCAGAGCGAGGTAGGCAGTGTGCCTCTTGCCTAATGAAACACTAAATGTCTCGGTATCTGGATTTAGGGAGGGTAGGTTTTGAGGCACTGTGGCACTGTTTGTTTTCTTCTTTTTTAACTGACGCTTTAACATTTAACAATTTAACATTTTCTGTAACCACAAAATTGTCTAGCAGTGTCTGTGAATTACAGAACTTTTCTTTTTAAAAATATATATGTGTATATTTTTAACTTTCTATTTTTAAATAATATTAGACTTACAGAAAAGTTATAAAAATTATAGCATTCTCATATACTTTTCACATAGCTTCTCCTAAGGTTAACAGCTTATATAATCATAGTACAATTGTCAAAACCAAGAAATTAACATTGATATACGATTAACTAGTCTGCAGGCTTTATTCCAATTTCACCATTTTTTCTACTAATTAATAACAGTGTTACCAAGTCCTTTTTCTAGTCTAGGATCCAGTACAGGATCCTGCAAATAGATGTCATGTCTCTTCAGTTTTCTCCAATCTGTGACAGTTGTTTAGTCTTTCTTTCCTGACTTTGATACTTTTGAAGAATACTGGCCAGTTATTTTATAGAGCGACCCTCAATATGGGTTTGTCTGGTGTTTTCTCACGATTAGATTGAGAACCTACATTTGCGGCAAGGAATGACAGAAGTGGTGTTGTGCCCTTCTCAGTACATTATGTCAGGAGGTACTTTTTTTTTTATAAGTATCTCACCCTTCATTTCTCTTTCCATTTTCCCAGAACATTTGTCTTTGGCAGAATTAAAGGACAAAAATTAATCCAAAAAAAAAAAATTGTCGGAATTTTGTTGTTAGGTGCCTTAAAGTCAGTTCTAAATCATAGCGACCCTGTGTACAACAGAACAAAACACTGCCCAGTCCAGCGTCATCCTCACAATCATTGCTATGTTTGATCCCAGTGTTGCAGCCACTGTGTCAATCCATCTCACTGAGGATCTTCCCCTTTTTTGCTGACCCTCTACTTTACCAAGCATGATGTCCTTCTCCAGGAACTGGTCCCTCCTGGTAACATGTCCAAAGTACATGAGATGAAGTCTTGCCGTCCTTGCTTCTTCTAATGAGCATTCTGGCTGTATTTCTTCCAAGACAGATTTGTTTGTTCTTCTGGCAGCCCATGGTATATTCAGTATTCTTCACCAACACCATAATATATGCATCAATGCATCTGCAGTCTTCCTTATTCATTGTCCAGCTTTCACATGAATATGAGGCGATTGAAAATACCATGGCTTGGGTCAGGTGCACCCTAGTCTTCGAAGTGACATCTTTGCTTTTTAACACTTTAAAGATATCTTTTGCAGATTTGCGCAGTGCAGTATGTCATTTGATTTCTTGACTGCTGCTTCCATGGGCATTGATTGTGGATCCAAGTAAATTAAGTCCTTGAAAATTTCAGTATTTTCTCCTTTTATCATAACGTTACTTATTGGTCCAGTTGTAAGGATTTTTGTTTTCTTTTTGTTGAAGTGTAATCCATACTGAAGGCTGTGGTCTTTGATCTTCAATAAGTGCTTCAAGTCCTCTTCACTTTCAGCAAGCAAGGTTGTCATCTGCATATTGCAGGTTGTTAATGAGTCTCCCTCCAGTCCTGACACCACATTGTTCTTCACATAGTCCACCTTCTCGGATTATTTGCTCCGCATACAGGTTGAATAAGTGTGGTGAAAGGATACAACCCTGGCATATACCTTTCCTGATTATAAACCAGGCAATATCCCCTTGTTCTGTTCGAACAACTACCTCTTGATTGTGTACAGGTTCCACATGAGCACAATTAAGTGTTCTGGAATTCCATTCTTTGCAATGTTATCCATAATTTGTTAACTGTTTTTCTTATATAAAGAAAGAAAATCATTTCCTCTTCAACTTTTTGCTTACCCAGAAATAATGCCCAATACAGGGAAGATGGGATAAATGTTTGATTTTTTTTTTTTTTGCTTTATGGATATTCTGAATAATGAGTTTTGGTACCTTAGCAACCTTGTTACAAGGTTTTTTGTTTGGTTGTGTTTTGAATAGCTTATGAACTCATATGTTTTGATGTATTGAATGTGTTCCAATCCATTGCAATCATTATTCTTTTTAATGCTCAAACTGCCCCATATTTGGTCAGTAGGAACATGTCAAATTGATTTTTAATCCCCTTTAACACAACTCTAGGAGTCTGAGTTTTTTTTTGTTTTTTTGCTATGCAAGAGTTCATTTTTTATGGCACTTTTTCTTTTTTTAATACATGTCTTAGGTGAAAGTTTACACAGCAAATTAGATTCTCATTTAACAATTTTTATACACATTGTTCCGTGACATTGGTTACAATTTTTACAATGTGTCAGCATTCTCATCATTTACATTCTGTTTGTTCTGTTTTCATTGATCTAGCTTCCCTTACCCTCCTTGCCTTCTCATTTTTGCTTTTGGGTAAAATGTTGACTGTTTGGTTTCATATACTTGATTGTTTAAGGAAGCACATTGCTCATGGGTGACATTGTTTATTTTAAAAGCCCATCTATTGTTTGGCTGAAAGATGACCTCCAGGAATCATAGCTTCAGTTCCAAGTTCCCAAGTTCAAAGATATCTTAGGGTGATAGTCTCGGGGGTTTCTCTAGTATCTGTCTATCCAGTAAGTCTGGCCCTTTTTAGGGATTTGTAGTTTGTTCTTCATTTTTCTCCCATTCTATCAAGGACCTTCTATTACGTCCCTGGTCAGAATGATCGGTAATGATAGCCAGGCTCCATCTAGTTCTCCTGGTCTCAGGCTAGAAGAGGCTGTGGTGTTTGTGGGCTGTTAGTCTTGTGAACCATTTTCTTCTTTGAGTCTTTGGTTTCCTTAATTCTCTTTTGCTCCAGATAAGTAGAGACCAATGTTGTATCTTAGATGGCCGCTCGCAAGCTTTTAAGACCCCAGACGCTACTTACTAAACTAGGATGTAGAACATTATCTTTATGAACTATGTTATGTTTGTAGCACTCAGTTTTGAAGAATAAAATCTACCCAACGCAGCAGGAGAAATTTTAAGGACATGCTCCCTTTATGAGTGACAGTGAAGTGTGGCAGAAATAACCCTCAATTAGGAAGCAGACCTTAGTTGTACTCTTCTCTCTACTGCTTACTAGCTGTATGGCCTTGCCAGGTCTTCAGGCTTGAACTGCCCTTCCTGTTGTCTCCTCCCTAGACCCACCCTCTATTTCCAGATTTCAGAGAGGGTGTATCTTCTTTGTATTATATCTCTCATTTTTTTCATGTGCTAGCACCTGAGTACCATTCTCGTTCTTATCTGGCAATGCTCTTTTCCCATTTACAGGGTACTTTTAATAACATCTCTAGTCCATCTGGCTAGAACAGTCTCTCTTTTTACTTTGATTTGATTGAGTTCAGCATGTGTTGTTGAATAGGGTGTCTTGATTTTATTTCCCAGTTGTAGGTTAGATGAGTGTCTGTGGTGAATGGCCTATGAAGCATTATGGATATGAAGCAAATAGTTATGAATTCATGGGATTATTTGTACAGCTTGTTTGGTCAGCTGGCTGCATTTTAAAAGCAGATCTCTAAAACTTTTGAAGCAACAAGCCCTTTTGAAAATTATACTTTGAAATAATTTTACCCTATCTTCTTGGGCTCAGCAAGAGTCCACTTTTCCTGAAGCAGTTGTGATCATTGTGAGCCCTTAAAGTCAGTGCTAGATATGAAACATCAGGCTTTCAGATAGTCTGTTTTAAGAGAATTGAAAAATCCTGAGTTCATTCTAGCTGCTGTGGGGGAAACATTTTTCAATTGCCTTTTGTTTTTAAAATATGTATTGCTTTTTATATGTTATTGGTGATTATATGGAGCCATGGTGGCACAGTGGTTTAAGCATTTGGCTACTAACCAAAAGGTTGGCAATCCTTTGAAATCCACCAGCTGCTCCTTGGAAACCCTATGGGGCAGTTCTATTCTATCCTATAGGGTTGCTATGAATCAGAATCGACTTGATGGCAATGGGTTTGGTTTTTGGTGATTATATATGTAGTATTTAACCATTAAGGTACCTATTGATAGCTGGATCATGTATATATTTAGGGTTTCTTTATCATGCTGGAGCCCTGGTAGCACACTGGTTAAGAGCTCAGCTGTTAACCAGAAAGTTGGCAGTTCGAATCCATCAGCTGCTGCTTGGAAACTCAATGGGGCAGTTTTACTCTGTCCTATAGGGTTGCTATGAGTCAGAATTGACTTGACAGCAGTGAGTTTGAGTTTTGGTTTATCATGCTTGGTTTTTGAAGTAAAAGTTAAATACCACCACCAAAATGCCTTTATTAAAATCTGTACTATAGGTCTCACTATAATTCAGAGATTTTAAAGCCTCAGGCCCTTATTTCAAGCTACATTTAATGCAAGAAAGTTACATTGAAGAGAAATCCCTGAGTCTACTTGTAATGACTGGCTTATTTTGGTTACTGAATAGTCAGAGATCTTTATGATGAATCCTAGAAGTCTGTAGAACTATCTATAGAATGACACCACCAAAGGTCTGGATAGATAAATATTCTGCTTCACCTATATTAAGTTTATGGTTTTTCCCTTTTAAGGCAACCCATATTAATAAACAGCATTGAGAATTAGATTCTGGTTTAATGCAAAACAGATGTTGTTTAACCACTTGGGGTTGGGATCTTTTAATATTAAGCACTAATTACCAAATAGGCCAAGTGCTTATAATAGGAGGTCCAGACGAACTGGCATGAAAGGGTTTAGTAAACTTGCTCCCTAACTTGAGATCAGCATAATATACCAGTGTTATGGATTGAATTGTATCCCCCAAAAGTGTGTGTCAACTTGGCTAGGCCATGATTCCCCATATTGTGTGATTGTCTGCCATTTTGTCACCTGATGTGATTTTCCCATGTGTTGTAAATCCTGTTTCTGTCATGTTAATGAGGAAGGATTAGAGGCAGTTATATTAATGAGGCAAGACTCAATCTATAAGTTTAGGTTGTGTCTTGAGTCAGTCTCTTTTGAGATATAAAAGAGAAAAGCAAGCAGAGAAACGGGACCTCATACCACCAAGAAAGCAGGGCCGGGAGCAGAGCGCGTCCTTTGGACCTGGTGTTCCTGCGCTGAGAAGCTGCTAGATCAGGGGAAGATTGATGACAAGAACCTTCCCCCAAAGCTGACAGAGAGAGAGCCTTCCTCTGGAGGTGGAACCCTGAATTTAAACTTCTGGCTGCCTAGACTGTGAGAGAATAAATTTCTCTTTGTTAAAACCATCTCCTTGTGATATTTCTGTTACAGCAGCACTAGATGACTGAGACAACCAGATATAATTAGTTCTTTCTGTCTCCAGAGATCACTGATAATAAGCTTGTATATATAACAGTTATTTTATAGCACAATTATTTTATGCCTCTTTTTTTTTTTTCCCCTCATGCTGCATTATTTTTTGAAGGTGTGCATATACCAGATACTACTAATGTTCTTTCTTTTTTCTCTTTGGCAGAGGAGATTGAAGTGGATGTTGAAAGCACAGAGTTCTCCCATGGAGAAGTGGACAATATCAGTACCACCAGCATCAGTGACATTGATGACCACAGCAGCCTGCAGAGTATTGGGAGTGATGAGGGTTACTCCAGTGCCAGTGTCAAACTTTCGTTCACTTCCTAGAACCCAGCATGACATAACAGTGCAGGGCAACATACTCACTGGGCCAATTCAATCCAAACGATCTCTTAAATTGGGTTCATGATGCAGTCTCCTCTTTAAAACAAAACAAAACTATACTTGAACAAAAGGGTCTCAGAAGACCTGTATTTAAGCAAATACATAGCAAAAAGTGGGGCAGAGCCTCCCCAGCAGAATACTCATAATATTCATATTGGAAAATCACAATTTCTAATGGCAGCGGAAAACTTGTGTGAGATTTCCTTGATTTGACTTAGTTGATTTAAAAGAGGACATTGGAGATTCCATCCTCTCTTTCTTTTCTAGTTTGCTCATACTGCATTGAGTAGACATGTTTAAGGATGGGTTATGAGCCCTTCCTGAGCTTTGTGGTCCTAAAAACAAACGAAATCAAACCTGTAGTAATGACAAGACAAGATGAAATCAGGCATTAATCCTGGATAGCTAAAGAGCTATTGTCACTCAGCCTGGGACAGCTTATCATGAAGCCTGTGGATGATCAATTCTTTAAAAAAAAAAAAAAAAACTCATTTCATGCTCTGCAAAAGGAGAGATTCCCATGAAGCCTGTTGAAAGGGATCATCATGCAGCTCAGCTTTCTGTTGGATTCCATGCTAAGCAAGCTAACCTTATCCTGCATTGTTAGCACTAGGGCACCAAACCGCCAGCTCGCCAGCCAGCCAGCCGCCCCTAGGCCCCTTGGGCAGCTTGGAGGCAGTCAGTGCATGACAGCCTCCACACAAGGCCCGTGAGTACGGATTGAGGGGCCAGAAGGAAAAAGCTCCACATGCCTCTGTGTCTGCGTGGGCCAGAAGAGTTTTGCACGCAGATAAGCAGGCCAAGGTCTGAGCCACGGCAGCATTTTTATTTCAGATTTTGATAACTGTTTGTATGTGTTGAAACCAAAATGACATCTTTTTAAAAGCTTGTCCATAAAAAACATAGATGTCTTTTATAGTGGAAAAACACATGGGGAAAAATCATCTATTTTGATGCAGCATTTGATAATGATAAAACACCTCACACCTCACTCTTGTATAGTGCACAGAATGAATGAGGTCTGGGCTAGGTAGAAAAATGGTCAGTGCTAATGTTTTTGTTTTCTTTTAGAATCATTACCCTTTACCAGCTTTTAACCATCTGGTATCTATAGTAGACTATCATAGTTAACATAGTTAAGTTCAGCACTTGTCTCATTTTAGTGTAAAGATTTGCTTCCATTTTCCTACAGGCAGTCTCTCTCCTTCCTCACAATCCCACTGTGCAGGTGCTATTGTTGCTCTTATGAATATTTTCAGAAATGTTATTTTCTTTAAAGTGAAATTTCTAGCCTGCACTTTGATGTCGTGTGTTTCCTCTGTTTTAAACCCCAAGGTTCCCCTCTTGCCCTCTCCTTTACCCCAGGAAGCCTTCTTGGAGACCTTACCCCTGGCTGTTTGAACTTTGTATACTTTAAATAATTTAACTACCCTTAATTACTTAAAAAAAAGCTTTATGATTTTCGTAACTTATTGCTGATTTTAATGGGTTGTTAATTTCAGTCCTGTAGTTTTATTTTATGTTTTAGGTAGGGCTGGGCAAGAAAAAAGAAAATAAAGACAACTGTATTTAGCAGTGCAGTTGAGTTGTGTGTTAATGTTAGACTATCCTTTGTAAGTAGCACTTTAACAGCATTCATTGCTTCTGTCTATGAAGTGTACCATACATAAGGCCTCAGCATATACTTACCTGTTCTTGTGCTCTTCCTGTGCCTCCAGAAATATTTTATCCTTGATTGTGCTATGTTTGAGTGGAAGAATTCTTTGAAGTAGATGTGTGTGAAAAACTGCATGCCTTTAGAAGCCCATTATTAAAACCTGCTACTTCAGGTGCTAGAGACTTAATGAGAAACAATGACAGACAAATTCATTTTTGTGGCCCAGGTAAATTATTTCTGGTTTCATTTATAGTTAACTCCTGGCCAGGTTAAAATGTTGCTCTGTATATTTGCTTAATTTTGACGTTCCCAAGTGAGACAGTTTGAAGACTGTGCTAACTACCATGGAAAGTAAATGGAAGCTGATCACTAAGCTTCCATTTTGTTATTCCCATGGCATTCACGTATGTCATTTTGCCTAGTGTTGGAATTTGGGACTTCATTCAGGTGAACTTGAGGTGCTGTCATTTTGTTGTACATGTACAAGGTGGTGGGCTGGAAAGCCTTTGTTGCAAACCTACGGTACGTATTTCAACTGCCCCCTAAATTACTCTTTCCCTGGGTTTGTTTTCCTTGGGGAAGGTCGGGGGTGGATTGTACCATGAGCAAGAAGTATTAATTTTTTAAAAGACAAATTGACTTTGAAGATACAACAGTTAACTGCAAGAAATAAAAATTGTGAATGAAGAATACCCGAGTGCTTTTTGTACCACCCTTCTCTATGAAGGAAAAAATTACGGCTGAGGATCCACACCTTGAGAGGCAACTACCTTATAAAAGTCTGTGTTGATACTACATCAGCAGTCAGGAATTAATGGCAGCTTGAATGGTCATTTCTGTTTTCTGTTCTACAGTTTAAATGGGTGCTTACCTTACTGATAAGTCCTCACAGTCTGACTGCAGATGGTGTAATATCTGATAATCTTAACTGCTTCAGGTTAGACACAAAGCTGTTTGTCATTCTCATTATCTGTTCTCCAAATAACTTTTTAGGGGATCCCTTTGGCTATACTATTCAAATGCTTTTCAAGTCTAGAAATTTCCAATTAGTCCCCACTAACCTGACTTAGGAAACCCTGGTGGCGTAGTGGTTAAGAGTTCGGCTGCTAACCCAGAGGTTGGGTGCTGTTTGGAAACCCTATGGGGCAGTTCTCTGTCCTCTAGGGTCACTATGAGTCGGAATCGACTCGACGGCAGCGGGTTTGGTTTGTTTGTTTTTTAACCTGACTTAGGGTACCCAATATATGTCTATAAATGATACTTATATTGAGGAGCTGTGGTGGCTCAGTGGTTAAGTGCTCAGCTACTTAAATCAGTGCACCATCAGAGAAGGATTCTGATAAAAGCCACTGTGACCTGTAATTTCTGGTTAGAATAGGTATGAGAACTCCTATAGAATGCCTTTTCTAATCCCCATGGCAATGACCACTTTTAGCATTATGAAGGGATTTTAAAAGGCAAAGCTCCTAAGACCACACTGCTTCCTGAAATTGTACAGCCTCTTGGAGAAGGATTTTTCTGTGTGTGTTTATTTTCTTTCACTTAAAGAAGCAACTGCATTTTCCCATTTTTGTATTATCCTTCCACCTCAAATTCCCAGACTAACCCAACATACCTACCAATACCAGCATAAGGTGGAAAGAATAAGAAGGGTTTTTGATCAGATTTAAATCCCTTTTCCAACACTGGCTACACTCAGAAGTTACCTAATTTCTTCATTGAGCCTGTTTCCTCCTAAAAAATCGTTAAAAATACTACCTTTATCTTGGAAGGTTGCAAGGACTAAAGGTGATATGTATAAATTACCCCCTCCCCAAATCAAGGAACTTGTAGCACCAAAAGGAGATTAAGAGGTAAGTATTTCTTTCTCTGATGAATGCAATCTTTCAAGTTATTTTGACTCTGGATCTTACAAAAAAGGGCTATTTCTAAATATATATTAGTTCATTTAAAAAAAAAAAATTCCATGGCAGGTTATACTTCGTAAGAAGTCAGTGTTGATGTCCTATAGAATTTTTTAAATAAAGTCTTTATAATAAGATTGATATTATCACCAGTTTCAGTGATTAGCTGCTCTTTCTAAAAAAGGACTGCGTAACTTGAGCTTGAGAACATTATTACACACAGATAGTAACCACTGCCTAATAATCGAGCACCCTAGTTTCAGTATTTGATGCTGGCCTTGTCAAAAAAAAAAAATTTTCAGCAGCTATTTTCTTGGCCCATGTACCAGATCTAATAGGAAACTGGTTTTCTTGTGGAATATGCCTGACTCTTAAATAGGCAGTGTAGTTCAGAATATATGCACTGGCTGACAACTTTACTTAATGGCTCTGGTTTTGCCTTTCTATGAAGTCATAAGTTATTAGGACAAATAGCTTAAAAGGAAGCTCTTTTAAAGTATTGCCAACTACTAGTAATTTTGGAATATTTTCCTTTACCGCAAGTTCTTAGTCATGAGGGAATGCTTAAAAAGTTTTTATTGCTAGGGCAATCACTGGGATATTTATTTTAGATTTTTAAAGTAGTATTATTCATGAATAAATGACACCAGGGCACAGAATAGAATTTTGTAAAAATCTACAACGAAAGCTATAAATTTTATATATTATACTAAAATACATATATATAAAGAATGTAAATTTAAGAGGTCAGTTGTTTCTAAATTAAGTTTTATTGAACTTATTATGAAAGCTAGCTAGCTCAACTAAACCTGACAGTGGTTTTTTGAGGAAAAATTCCAGGCAAAAGACCCAAAGGGATACTTACTCCTCCTTTCTGGTACTTCTGAGCAATGACCAGTTGGATAATTACTATCTATTAAAGACTAGCCCAGCTGTAGATCTTAGGCTTCAACTCTGGTTCTCCCAGGATAATAGTCAGTGTTTCCTCCAAGCCTGAATTCTTTCTCTGGTCAGAAATTCACTGCATCTTGCTAAAGTCTAGCACAGAGCTTTAAAGGAGAAAAAAACAAACGCACATCAGTTTCACCAAGGAAGGGAAATCACAAGCCAGCAAAACAGGAACCATAAATTTGGGCCGTAAGTACCTTTTGAAACAAAAAACCAACCTTTCTCCTAATAACTATGGGTTGTTTTAGCTATGCTCTTAAAAAAAGACTAGGGGAACAAATTACAGTTTAAATAATACTAATGACTTAAGTCTATACTGGTTTCCTAAAAATGAATTGCTGCTTGGTGGAAGTAAATTGCCAGTTTTTATTGGCTGAGAGCTGAAAAATTAATTGTATCCAAAATTTGATATTTTAGCTAGTTCACTTGTCAGATCTGCTTTACCCCACTCAAGACGACAAATGAGCAACCTTATTTTGTATACAGAAGCTAAAAGGGCAAATGAAAATCCTTGCAAATCTAACATCTTCATTTTTCTTTTACTATACTTACCAAAAGGCCAAAACAAAAAATTCTTAGAATGTCCCATCTACAGTATTGGTTTCTGAGCCTCTTAAAATGTCTTATAGGAATATATATATATATATATTCACATATATGTGGGATAAAGGGATTCAGTTACTTCTTTTTGTTCGAACTATATCGTTGCCTGTTACTTTGCCTGCTATGCTCTTCCTCTCCACTGCAGTAAAAACTCAAGTTTAACTTGCAACTCAAAAATCCTAGGTACAATGTTTACATTTACTGCTGAACTTGTAAATTACCATTTATACTAATTGGTTGCTTCATAGTATATTAAATAGTTTGAGCAGATATTTAGTGAACCCTCTAAAGATTTTAACAAATATAAAATCCTGTTTTAATAGATTTTCTTCTTACATGATTCAGTTACCATCCAAATTGGCATAAAGTCAAATCAAAACTTTAAAAATACTTGTTGGCTGAGTTCATAACTCTTTTTTTCCTTTTCGTAATCTGTACACATGCTTAACAACTCACAAATGTACAATTTTCCTTTATATTACCTGATGGTTTCCCCTTGCTATTTGCTATTTTCAAGGCAGACACTCAGCATTAAAACTGCGTATGAGAACATACACACCCTTCCTTGTGACAAAAACAAGCACTTTATGAGTTGTTAACTGTTCATTTTGGTTTGATGCCTAGTCATCATAATTGAGCTAATGAAACTGCCCCTTCAAAAATCAAACTGATTTTACATTTAACCTAAAATATAGTTCTTCGCCAGGTGTGCACACCAGCATCACTGGTGGTGGTGGTCAAAAATAGACGTGCCTTGGCCCAGGGATAGGTCTTGGGTAGGACTCAGACGCAGGAATTCCCTTTTTTCAAACAAGCACTGGGGGGTGATTTTATTACAACCTGTATCCCCTTCCGGTCCAGAACCATGTCCTAGGATATTCCAGTATAAAAATTAGTGAAACCTTTACTGGATTTACTTAATGTACTTTACAATTCTGGTGATCTGGTAACATCTCAGGCATACAATTGGGGCCTCAAATCATAAGCAATGGTGCTATTATCCATCATAAGGTAAATTGTTATTATTTAAGGAAAAAAGATCAGATATTTACTATTACCATTCTGCATAGTAATAGAAGACCCTTCTAATAGTGTTTACCATGTACCAGGTACTGTTAAGTACAAATCCTAACGACCTATGAAACAGTATTATTTCCATTCTATAGCTGAGAAAACTGAGGCAAAGAGGAGTTACACACATAGGAGTCTTTGTTCTTCACTGGGCTCCAAGGCCTCTCCACACGTTATCGAAACAGCGTTTGTTATCTGTAATTACTACTAAAATCAATTTTGGTTTACTAATTTTTGGGGTGTTAGGACTGTTCTTTCCTTGAAGGTGAACAACCAAGTGAAATGTCAAGCTTTGAGAAGATATATGCAACCATAGCGATTTAGGGCCATAGATCAATATTTAACGTTTCAGTCTGTCAGTTTCAGAGCTTCAAGTGAAGCCTGAAGCTTAACACGGAAAAAAACTACACTGAATTTTTTAACAAATCTTACAAACTTCAAATTTGGTTTTAGAGTATAGACAGCTTAAACACCTTCATTTATAGTTAAAACAGTTCAAATGCCAGGGGTATTTGTCATAGTTTTCATTAAGCATCTTCTCAAATTCAGCACACTGACAGGTACTCTTATTTCCCCAAGGGCCCTAACCTTTACAGTCCAGATGACCATCCTGACATTAGGATTTTCCAAAAAGCCACATTTAAGTCTTTCAGATAAGGGATCCTGACCTCGTGCTATAGGCCTCCAGTTTTCAAAACAAATGGTTTATTATGGTATGGTCTTTTACTGCTTTTCTCTCTCCTACTGCAAAGCCCTCAAGGAAAGTTAATGTGCGTAAAGGCAGGCCCACAGGGCCATAGTAGTAGTTACTCTCAATTACAATAACCCTGCCTACATAAACACCGGGTAAACCACTATCCCAACAACCATACCAAGGTAATTTCATCAGAAGACATTTGGTGTGGCCATACAATTAAACGAACAAATTTACTATTTAATTCAGAGTATTCCCTTGTAATCCTTCAAGGCTACTATTGATTAGTATGCTTTTAAGATGCTTTTTACAATGGTAATGAAAATGATCTATTTCATTCAAAGGTTTTCAGGCTAAGTAGCCCTTTTTCAATCATCATCTGTGCCTTATGTTTAAAAAATTCTCTCTCAACTTTCTATCCTACATGTTCCACCTTGTGGCCATGGAGTATAGAGAAGAAAAACTGATCTGGGTTGGGAGGGAGGTGGCAGAGAGAGATGGGGTATTCTACTTCTCATCACTGTCCTCCTAAGTTTCATTTTACCAAAAAAATTAAAATTCATGAAATAAACTTTTTATTTTCTCCTTCCACCAAAAATGTACAAACACCTCTATACACAGCACGAGCCCTGAAAATAAAACTGGTTTCTACTTTAGAATCCTTTTAATTCTAATGGAAGGAATACTCAAGGATTTATTGAAACCTATATTACATAATATTCTTTTCGGTAGCAATGATGTGTTCAAGTACATAGTAGCCTAATCATTTTTATCAACACTGATGGCTAAAGAGTTCACCCTTTGGTTAACACACCTTGGAGATTTTTAAAGCACTTTATTTAATAAAAGTTAAACATACAAAACGGAAATTAACACACATCCTAAAAATCACATCCTTCCATTAATTGGAAGATCCTTTTCTATGTATGTATTTGGCTTAAACTCAACTCAGGATAACTGTGATGTTCACTTAAACACCAACAAATGCTGACAACTTGATCTAGTTAACAAAAATTACAAACAGCTACATGAACATAATATACAGGGAAATTATGGTCGTATTAATGCACAAGAAATACAGTAGATTTTTAATGATGAAAACATTCAGTACTCTTGTTCATTAATTTAGCCTTGGGTTTTGTTTTTTGTTTTTTTTTTTACAAAAATAGTATCTACACTGTATACAGGGCTATACATTAGCTTTTTGTTTTCCCATATAAACATTACATCCAAAAAATGGTACCACTACCATAGTGAAAAATCAACACAGCAAAAAAAACCTTAGAAAAGGCAGGTGGTCTTAAACATGGTTTCTTACATAAAACTCATGAAAAGAATGAAAGCTGAATCAATTTTAGAGATGGCCTAATAGGATTAGGAAACCAGTTCTTGAAGGAAAAACCTCAAAACAAATGTTGCCATTTACAAATTAACTTATATTTAGGCTTAATTGGTTTAAGTTGAAAGGTAAGGAAAAAAGCAAAGATTTCTTTAATAGGTTGGTGTTTTTGCCTTGAAGTTCCGATGAATTGCAAGAATATGTGACAAGTTCAAAGTATCTGAAAAGTCCAAGTTATAATCTTACAAAAAATATATACCATCGGTTGAAGGGGGATCTGACATTAGGAAGATCAATAATTCTTCTAGGTGTTCTATTTAAGCAGCGTCTTATCTAGAAAAGTCACTTTATTCAACAAACTTTAAGGGAACTGTGGTAGTAGTAATGAAAGTTAAATGAGTAGCAGTTATCAAATGCAATTTCTTCAAGTTTCATTCTATTGAAGTCAGTGACAATGGTATTCTTCCTTACTCATCTAACAAATAATTTACCTTTAGAAAAATATAAGGATAAAAAGGTAAATGTAAAGCCCTGCAGAGATGAAATCCAACAGTTTTTCTGATTATTGAGGCATCAAATGCCTGACATTGTATTTAGAGGTATCCTGATACTGTGTCATAGGTTTATCAGCAATTCCACAAGTTCCTACTCCAACTTTGCCAGTTACGCTCTCAGGTGAAGCGAAAATACTCCTCTTTACCTAGGGAAATAAAACCATTCCGATTAGTTTTAGAAAAAAATGAATATTCAAATTTTAAATACTGTTAAAATATACTCTGAGGTTTCAATATTTTTTAAAAAGTACGCTGCTTTGTTTGTTTAGTGTCAAAAATGAGTGCTGAAGTGGTACCATGTTGGAAGCCATTCACTGAACTTCCAAGTTGTTACCACTATACTAACACTCGTAACGTTTACCTTTAGGCATTTCAATATTTTAATTTTGTAGACTCAAATCCTAATTTCAGCTATGATTATCCATTTTAGCATGACTAGAACTCTGGCTGTACTGAATGACATCTACCATAGGGCCTATTATAATGTCTAAATTATACCTTTGTTAGTCACAAAATAAACGTCTTTATGAAAAGGAAACACTACTTTCCAGAATCACGTCCATCAGTGGGGGGACTTTCTTGATAGCAATGAGAACTGTATTAGGGTGAAAGGCTACCCTTATTCTGAACTATATGAATGCTATGGATATTTTATATTCAGCATACACTTAGAAAGCAAAGTATGCCAAGGGAACTCATTCAGTGCTCTTTTAAATAAATTCTACCAGTGATGATCAGCATTAGACACATTAAGAAGCAGGTAAGAGTTTAGCAAGCTGCCTGTAAGTGGTATGTGAAGTAGCAAATCATTTTCCAAATTTAAGTTTATATAAAAAAAAAAAAAAAAAAAAAAAGAGCCTAGTAGACCTTTCGTAATTTCTCATGTAAATTCAAAGTGTTTATATTGCAGAGACAGTGGCCAATGAAGATTTTTTCCAACAAGCCAAATTGAGAATTGAAGAGGATTTTGAATTCAAGTCTGGTTATCATACGTTATTTTCTTATACCTACGTACCTCCTTTTTCAGTTTAAAGTTGTATTAATGACAGCTGCACTTTTCAAATTTACGAAGTATGATGAAAGGATTTACTAACCTGGCCTTTTTTGTTTTTAGAATAGGCTCTATTGTTGAATTGTTGCCATTTCACCTTCTGGTCCTCTCTTTCCTGCTCAAGTTCTTTTATTCTCTGTGCTTTTTTCAAAGCTTTCTTCTTTTTATATTCACGCTGTTGGGCAAGCATTTCTTTTCTGTGTTGAAGAAAGAGATAAAATTCAACTCTTAAGATTTAAAAGATAACTTCTTTTGAGATACTGTTGTTCTGACTTATAGTGACCCTATAGAAGAGGATAGAACTGCCCCATAGCATTTCCAAGGAGCAGCTGGTGGATTTGAACTAAACCTTTTGGTTAGCAGCCGAGCTCTTCACCACTATGCCACCAGGGCTCCAAGCCCTGAAAATATTAGCTGTGCAAAAAAACAAAACAAAAAAAACCTATATACTCTTTCCATGAATAAAAGCACTAACTCATTAAAACCAATGCCAATCACCCAGCACTACTAAGAAATAAGTGTCTTTTTTAAAAATACCAGTACATAATATGCTTGGAAGATTTTGAACATAACTGTAATCTATTCCCCATGTAAATCAGATAACCTGATTGTTTTATTTGACTTTTACATAGCTTGTGCCAGTTGTGTTTTAGGAATAAGATGAGTTTCAACACTAATGGCTGTCTAAACCTTTTATCAATTTCCAACTAGACATAGTTAGCAAGTGTAATGAGCAGCATTTGGAAATATAGAGAGACATTTATATAAATAAACAGGAGATTCAATGCAGATAAAACTCTACTTCACCAACACTGGAAGAGAGTAGCAGCACAAAGGGGAATTACTGCTAACAATTCTTATAAAACAACAAAAACACCTTGGGTTTTCCAAAGAGTCTTATTCTAAATAGGATCAGAGCCTAACTCTTTCACAATAAATCCTGCTCACTTAACACTGACTTCTCGCTAAAACAAGGATGATGATAAAGGCCTTTAAAAGAGAAGCAATAAAATCTGGACTCTCTCGTACCATATAACCACCATGAAGCTAAGTGTGGCTTTTTACATGGAAGTCAAACACTAAAAATAGAAACTGTACATTGTTTTACAATCTAATTTTCTTACTGGGTTGCTTAGTGTTATTTTAACAGACAATATAATTTTCCCAAATTCAAATATATTTATGTAGTAGCTTAAGTTTTGAAAACTCTTGCCAAATCCAAAAGATAGCAAATTGTGGTAAATATGCAGAAGTTATCCAAAATACTATTAATTCTGCCTCTTAAAATACTTTTCAAAACTGTACACTTTTCTCCATCCTCACTGCCACTCCCTATGTTCAGGCCATCATCATCTTATGCCTGGATCATAGCAGTAGCTGCCGTCTCTCTACTGCCACTGACTGTTCTAAAACTCCAATGTGATCACATCATATCCCCTCTATTTAAAATGCTTCCGTGGCTTACAAGCTCCTTTACGATCTGGCCTTTACCTCTTTAACCTCTTCTCTTGTCAAACCACCTCCCCAGCCCAAGTTTTTGTCACAAGTTATTTCTGTTACCTCTGACTCCATCTTTTTTTTTTTTTTTAAAAGCAAACATTTACTGAGCTCTTACCGTAAGTCAAGAACTGTGCTACATGCTTTATTAATGCTATCATTTAACCCTCACAGCCCTGTAAAGTAGCTACTATTATTACTTTCTCAAAGAAGCCTGTCCAGATCATTCAAGTGCAGTTTAGGTACCTCTTCTTTGTTTCCCTCAAAGTACCCATTACGTTCCCTTTTTAACTTCCACACTTAATTGTAAGTGCTTCTTTAATTATGCGTTTTCTCCTCTAGAGGAGAGAACCTCAGTAGGGGCAAGGTCTGTCTATTCACTGTGGTATAGTCCCAGCACCTGGATTACTGCCAGATACATTTTTTTTTATTGTGTTTTAAATGAAAGTTTACAATTCAAGTTAGTTTTTCATACAAAAATTTATTCATACATTGTTATGTGATCCTAGTAGCTCTCCCTATACTGTGACAGCACACTCCTCCTTTCAACCCTGGATTTCCTGTGTCCATTCAACCAGCTTCTGACCCTCTGCCTTCTCATCTCACCTCCAGACAGGAGCTGCCCATTTAGTCTCATATATCTACTTGAGCTAAGAAGAACACTCTTCACGAGTATCATTTTATGTCCCACAGTCCAGTCTAATCTTTGTCTGAAGAGTTGGCCTCGGGAATGGTTTTAGTTTTAGGCTATCGGAGAGTCTGGGGGCCATGTCTTCCAGGGTCCCTTGAGTCTCAGTCAAACCATTAAGTCTGGTCTTTTTACTAGAATTTGAGTTCTGTACCTTACTTTTCTCCTGCTCTGTCAGGGACTGTCTATTGTGTTCCCTGTCAGGGCAGTCACTGGTGGTAGCCGGGCACCATCTAGTTCTGGTCTCAGACTGATGTAGTCTCTGGTTTATGTGTCGCTTTGTCTCTTGGGCTAATACTTTCCTTGTGTCTTTGGTGTTCTTCATTCTCCTTTGCTCCAGGTAGGTTGGGACCAATTGATGCATCTTAGATGGATGCTCGCTAGCTTTTAAGACTCCAGATGCCACTCATCAAAGTAGGACGCAGAATATTTTCTTAATAAACTTTGTTATGCCAATTGACCTAGATGTCCCCTGAAAGCATGGTCCCCCAGGCCCCTGCCCCTGGCTACTCTGTCCCTCAAAGTGTTTGGCTGTATTCAGAAAATTCCTTAGCTTTGGTTTAGCCCAGTTGTGCTAACTTCCCCTGTAGTGTATGTTGTCCTCCCCTTTACCTAATTCTTGTCTACTACCTAGGTAGTGAATATCCCCTCTCCCTCCCTCCCCACCCTCGTAACCATTGAAGAATGTTTGCCAGATAGGTTAAAAAAAAAAATTTTGCCACGGAGTAGATTGCAACTCATGGTGACCCGTTTGTCAGAGTAGAAATGTGCTTCATAGGGGTTTAAATGGCTGATTTTTTTTGGAAGTGTATCACCAGACCTTTCTTCCAAAGTGCCTCTGGGTGAACTAGAACCATTAACTTTCAGTTAGCATCCTGGGTGCATTAACCATTCGCACCACCCAGGACTCTGCCAGGTACGTACCAAAAAACCAAACCCGTTGCCATCGAGTCGATTCTGACTCACAGCAACCCTGTAGGACAGAATAGAACTGCCCCACAGTTTCCAAGGAGGACCTGGTGGATTTAAACTGACAATCTCTTGGTTAGCAGCTGTAGTAGCACTTAACCACAATGCCACCAGGATTTCCTCCAGGTACACGGTACCCTCTTAATAAATATGTATTGAATGTCTAAATGGGAACCAAAATGTCTTCACTTTACCCAGGCATACGTAGTTGGATAATGTTGACCCTATATTGCTACTCAGTCTTCAAAACAATGGTAAACATTATAGCTTTCTCACTCCAATCTAGCCTGCACAGATTGTCTCTGCAGACTGCATCAACTACCCAAACAGGGAAGGTAATATTTAAAATGCTAAAGTCAAAGTCACTTACTTCGACATGGGTTTGTTGCCACTGTCCTCCTTTGCCTTCCTCCCTTCTTCTACAGGCTTGAGGTTCAACAGTGGAGTCACTTCAGCATTGCCATAGCCAGCAAACGTGATTGCAGCGGTGCCATTTTCTTCATCTATCTCCTCAATCTCCGCTTCATAACACCTGTAAAGATATCATGGCTGTAAGCAGGTGAGTAAAGGTTTAGTACTGAGCCTACAAGACTTATACTGCAGTGATTTAACTATTACATGTGTCTAAAATGAAACATCTGCAATCAAATAGCCTTTCTGGCAAAGACAATACAACAGAGTAGTTGGAGTTAACCATTTGCTAACAAAAAGGAAGGTCTAATCAAAATACTGCCAGGAAAGGCTCTTACACATCTACTAAGCGTGTTTTAATCTTTGTGAGAAAAGATATTTCTTATAGGAATAATTTCAATGTACGTGCTTCACAGAATGAGATAGCTTAATTTTCAATTTGAGGAGAAAAGAATTCAGATTATTTTAGAAAATACCCATTTACTTTCCTGTTTTCATTTTCTTCTAGGTGTCAAACCATTCCTCTCCCCCAAACTTAATCTAAAGCTAAAACTTAAACTGTCTTAATGGTAACCACCCAAGAATCAAACTGACTCTATAAATCATATTAGTTTATAGAAAGATTAAAACAGGGTAGTTTAAACTGAATAAAAACATCTTACCATTGTATTTTATTATTTCATGTTATAGTTAGAGGGTTTTTTTCTACACTTACTGTCCATCTTCACTCCAGATTGCCATACACTTGTCTCCTACTTTCCACGAATGAGTGGGTTGTGTAGAAGCAAAACTGTCTGAACTTGCAAGAGTTTCAGAAGGTTGAGTTGAAAGAAGGTCTTTGGTTAGTTCTATAACTTCCTAAAAAGGAAAAACAAAATATATAATATTATTTTCATAACCCACGCTGTCAACTACTTTCAAGAATAAGCAGGTTCTTTCAGTTTTTTATGACAACAGCTCTCACCACATAGCACTTAAGTGTTCTACACATATTAATTCACTTGCAGTTCCTAACACTATAAAGTAGGTTACTGTGATTATCCCTGTGTAGAAACTGACCTCCAGTATTTTATACAGCTAGTAAGTGGTAGAGCTAGGATTTAAAGTCTGGCTCTAATCTTTGCTCTTAACTACGATACTGCCTTTCAATTTAATTAAACACAAATACTAATCGAAATAGGGTAGACACTTAAGCTTATTATCATGCACTATTTCTAAGTGCTTTTCGTAACTTGATAGATCTCTCTAAATATGAGAAATAAGGTCAAGTATGAGGGATTGAACTAAATTCGAGATCACTTATATCATTGGCCAGGTATGTTTCATGCAACTGTATTGCTTTACAGGGCATTACTTGGTAGTAGTATTAAATGCCTAGCCATCCTGGCCCTCCATCACCCCCAAAAAAACAAAACACTTGAAGCACCCTTAATTCTAGCAATAATGTACCTGCTCACACAGATTTCTACTAAAATATTGTCAGCACATATAAAAGAAATCTATCCATTCACTACAAAACTTATCCCATTCAGGTAAGCAAATTACCAGGTCAGATTTAAAATATTCCAATACCTTAGTGTTAAACACATTAGCACAGCTTCATTTAAAAGGAAAAAAATAAAAAGCTTAACACACATAGGCAGGCAATGCCTCTCTGTGTTACAATTTTTTTTTAACTTCAGACTTACACTTATTGGTTTCATTCAAAGGTGTTTGTTAAGGTTGGTTAAAAAAAACTTGAGAACTAGTACAAATTGATATACTCTATTTTCTATATTTTTATTCTAATGAAGATCCATACTATGCATCATCTTATCTGATTCAAGAGCTTGCACACCCCTACCAAAATGTATATAAAGGACCTTAAAATGCCACATTGTGTGTTTGAGCAGAAACATTAGCAAAGTTAAACTCTGTACTGAGTTTCTTCTGGCTCCAACTGAGGTTTTATACTAGTTCTGGCTCAGTAGTTAAAAAAGTTAAATATGACCTCTCTCCTAAAAATTCTAAATCTTCCTGGTTATTTCTGGAAAAACAAAACAAAACTAATATTTGATCCTTAAAAAGAATAATAAAAAGGAAAAGAAGGGGGGGAGGGGGAAGAGGAGCATTAAGCCCTTGGAGAAACGTCAGTTTTGTGAATAAAAAGACCAGATGTATTACCTAGAAGACTCAGATTTGAGAATTTAGTAAATTATCTCTAATGAAGTTTTATTAGTTGCTAAGTAGCCATTCAAACGGCTTAATTAGACAGTCCTTTGCAAAAGCAAAGAACTTCCAAATAAATATATCATATACTACACAAAGAGTAAATTATCCAGTTTTGTTTTCAGTTAATCACTTTTAGAGAACCAGGAATGTAATTCCAGTAAGCCTTACTCAAGAGCCCAAATGATCACTTATCATTACGGCACAAGGTATCTCCCACGTCCTCCTGCAAATCACTGAACTATTAAAGTGCTAACGTGAATTCTGTATTTGTACGTCTCAGATTTAGAATTCTATTTCTCTTAGAATAGAACAAGTTCCCACTATATTTTCAAAATAGGGAAATACATTTTCATTAAAGAAAAGGGTCCTGAAAAGCTGTGCATGTTATAAATAATTTCAGAGCTCTATACTGAAACGACCTTATTATTTTTTTAATTCAGAGCATTTACCCCTAACCAAACAAACCTGTTGCTGTTGAGTCAATTCTGACTCATAGTAATCCTACAGGACAGAGTAGAACTGCCCCATACGGTTTCCAAGGAGCAGCTGATGGATTCGAACTGCCAACCTTTTGGTTTGCAGCCGAGCTCTTAACCATTGTGCCGTACCCCTAGTGTTCATAAAGTTTGCCGTTGTTTTACAAAACCTCCCCCCGCAACAAATTATGAAGAATCTTCTAAATTTTTTTATCCACATGTGCACATGGACCAAAGTATTAGAGAAACTATTTTATGTATGAGGGGGTTCTTGAAGGTACATACCATTAATTACTTTTCCTCCCCCAAGTCTGAGTTCTGAAACTGCTCCTTCATTGACAGATGGGCAGCAGTTACAGTAATCGGCAATTCCAGGAAGCATCAGCTGTTGTGATCTACATATCGGCAGGTCAAAGGGGGTGCACTCAAGCACTCTGCTTACTGAAGGAAGGCGTTTCGGGGATGCAGAGAGCCACTGTAATATATGAGACAAGTGACTTGACCCCTGCCTCCTTTAGAACCAGTTTATTCAGCAAAACAGCCTAATATATTAACTATTCTTGTGATTATCATAGCCTGCCTGGGGAGCTAGTCAGCTAGCTAGCCTGGATTTTACTACACCCTTTTTTTTTTTTAAATTTTATTTCAGTGAAAAAAGAAACGAATTGGGACTTCAGTAGACCGATGTGCTGCCTGCTGAGTAACTTTATTCTACTCAAGAGACAGTACATACAGATAAATACAGGAACCTTACTGGTAAATTAAAGTCATTGAAAAAATGCAGAAAGGGCATTTTATCATAAATCAAATAAAGGGCAAACAATTCATAACCAGAATCTAATTCTGCAAGAGAAACAAAAGAAAGTAGAAACAATATGATGGTCAAAAAATATGAAAATAAGCAGGCCACAAACTCAGTGATTAGGAACCAAGTCTAAACAGACTTTTCACCAAATATAACAGGAAGAATACAGTAAAACCTGTGAAAGTCGGAACCTGCGTAAGGCAAAACCTGTCAGAGAAGGAAAACACAATTATTTTCCACAAATAGTGATAGAAAGTGGTATGAATGAACGCTGTCAAAGGTGGAAAACTTGCAAGACCTGGAAAAACAAGGCAGTCCCATGGAGTCCTAGCTCTCACAGGTTTCACTGTAACAGTGGCCAAGGCATATCGCAGAAAGCAGAGAAGAAAAAGCAGAACAACCTATGGCAAAATAGAGCCTGTAACTATAGTCTCAATGGAGGCAATACTTACTTTTCAAAATCTCATTTAATTTTAAAAGATGCCTTCCATCTTTGAGTAGTTTTTATTCAAAACAGACCTAGGTTTAGTAACCAAATGAAACTTTTTTTTTCTCCATGACAGAGTAAGGGGAAGAAACTGTGATCAAGATTAGTCAGTAAAAACACTCTGTATTATTGCTATCTCAAGAGTTAGAACTTAATCTTCTAAGTCTGTGCCATCCAATGTGGCTATTTACTTACACAAAATGAAAAACAGTTCCTCATCACACTAGCCACGTTTCAAATATTCAATAGCCACACGTAGCTAGTCGCTGTGGTTTTGAACAGCAGATACATATATTTCCATCATCACAGAAAGTTCTATTGGACAGCGCTGCTCTAAATGGTTATAGAAAAGCAGCTATTTTACAGATAAATGACTCCCAACTAATTATTCGCTGAATCCTATGTAAGCCAGTTATGTGCTTACTATAATGCCTACCACAATGGTCTCTCTCTCCCCGTACAGTATTTTCCACTACAGATCATGTCATAGTAAGGCATTTCTGCCCAGATTCTAATGATGATTTATTCTAGAAATATTAAAAAGATCTCATTATGCTGTTTCAACCTCCACTCCTAACTCTCCCTTCCCCCAGTTCCACATATACCCCTCCTCCCACTGCCTAGGAAACAATATATGCAACACTGGCACACAATGTTTCATTTTCTTCACGGTAAAAAAAGGACTGCTTTTAAGTTGGTAAAGCAGATGGGATATGCTGGGATATCTCTGAGGCAAACAGGAACTTGGTGCTTTACAGCATATAAATAAATATGTAAGTAGTCAGTCTGCCTGTCTCTTCACCTTCATTGCATATTCTTCATCTCCAATACATACTCAAAGAACACGTGAGCAAATTGAATGTACAGGTACCAAACTGTTGGATTATTTTTACCGAGGGACTTGGGAGTGGGAGAACTTTCTCCAAAACATCATTTTCTTATTGACTGGCACCGTGCAATCTATAGGCCTGACTTACACATACTGAAGAGGGGTCCTATTCATACTGGAATTATCCTAGATGTTTTCTGTGTTTTAAATAAATAACAAACTATTCTAACTATATGAAGTTTATAAAAAATCTGGAATTTGAACTTGAAACTATCCAACTCATCTTAATTACGCCCAGGTAAACTCTTTCAGAATCCCAAATCTGGACCCTCTTTCAAATAAGTTTCATGTTTGCAGTTCTAACATATCTAAAATATTTATAGTTTTAATGTGTGAGGGGATCATAAACGCAGGGAAGAATTATTTAGAAACGATAAAGGTGATTCAAGTTTTGTACTGAATCAATAAAGATCATCTGAACAAAACATCATTTAAAACTTTTTAATATCAGGTTCAGAATTTTAAAGACGTCCTCAAGTTTGTTCCTAAGATGAAAAGTCATAAACATCCACAAATATTTATATAGAGTGTTTCTTCATCAACGTGAGAAACAACAGCTATTTACCATCACAACTCTGTCTTGAAATCCCAGTGTGGGTTTTAAAAAAGAAGGTTCTGTACCTACTGAACTCCTCCTTGACCCACAAAAACAAAACACATTAAGATTTCCTTTTCACCACATGAATTTAATTTCAATTAAGTGCCAACAATAACATGTAAAACTTGGCCTTGAGTTCAAACATCTATGTAACATTTATGCAGAAAACAACTATCTCTTTATTTTTCTAATTTGTTTTCAATACTGGCTGTAACCCATAAGCTTTGAAACACACACACACTTACTTCACCTTCAAAGAATATTGTGGCATTAAAAAGAATCCTGTCAGGTTATACTTGTTTCCTTTAATCTTCATTCTCTTTTGAACTAAATCTCTTTCACCAGGTCTTTTTTTAAAAAACAAAAAATGTGCTTTCCATCGTAAAATTATGTATACCTCCTCTCCTGAAAATCTGACAGACTTCCAAAATCAACTCTTATTTTAAAAATTATATGCGCATACAAGATTTGCATAATAAAGAACAATGCTGATCCACTCATTTTGACATATACACACTGAGGAAGCAACTCTACTTCTGAGCCATGTGTGCCTATGAGCATATATACACATGTGCACATACATGGAGAGTACCCCTGCCAAAGAATGCTTTGGGTACCAAGGGATCTTAAGCAATAAACCATTTGAAAAACACAAAAACACTCTTTACAAGCAATGTAACTTGAAGTGTCCCCCCATACTTACTTGTAAATCTTTTTTCAATTTTAGCAAATCTTCATTTTCTCCATTTCCAGATAATGCAGCTTCAACTTGCTGGAGTTGAGCTTTGTAGCTTGCTAGCTGCTTTGCTAGATCCTCTGACATCTAGTGGTGGGGGTGGGGGGTAGAGGAGTGGGGGATAAAGATCATAAAAATTAAAAAAAAAAAAAACTCATAAAATTTAATTTCCCTGTCTGCCACAATTAATCTTTACCCGTTTTGTTCCCAACTCCTTATTAACACTGTAGCTTAATTCATCACCATTACCTTTAGTTTAGAGAAAAGTTGTGAGCCAAACCAAAAACCTGAAGGCAATGAACTCTGAAAATTATAAACATATCAAATAAATTCCATATAGTAAGAAAAACAGAAAGCAAGATATAAGACAAGGGTGTAATGGAACAAATTTTCTTTTATTACATGGCACGTATTGTGTTCAGATCAATTAACGGTTATTATATCTTCCAAAAAAACAAAAAAAAATTAATGTTGGAAGAGACCACCGGAAAAAAAAATTTTTTTTAAAGCACCAAAAAATACTTCCAAAGCCAATTACAAATGGCTCTGGATTAACTACATCAGTAACTCTCTACTTCAGCTTTTCAAGTATTAAGAGTTTATTTAGAGGCTCTTCTCCAGAACAAAATTCTTTCACCCAGTTAAATAGTGCCGATGCATTTTCTTCAGTAAAAAGAAACGGCACAAATATTCTTCCAGGTAAGCATTTTAAGGAAAGTGCCCTTCACCAAACCCGGCTCACTCATTCTCCTGAAAATAAGATACAAATTTGCCCTTTATTAATGATTTATAAGAGATTTCCGACAACGCTTCTCTTTCCTAAAATTCCAGTCCAACGACAGCCTGGAATCTGGAAAGTCTCCAAAGGTGTTACAGCAGACAGGCTGTTCTCCTCTCAATCACTGAACAACCCAAAACCCGCCACAACTTGGTCGATTATTTCAGACCTCAAATTCAAACGTCAGCTTCCAGGGAAACCGAAAACACGAACTCAGCGGAGCCCAGAGGCGCCGGAGCCGCACATCCTCAAAAAGCCCTTCACGGAACTGCTGCGGTTGTCCTGAAGCGGCCTCACGCGTCCCGACCCCACCCGACGGGCTCTCCAGATCGGCCACGTTCTCCGCCACGGGCTGGAGGCCCCAAACGCGCCGAGGCCGGTCAGGGAGCAAATCTGGGTGGGAGATGAGGCCGTGGCTTCTAATACTTTGGCGGGCGCCCCAGGCCTTTCGAGCACGGCGGCCCCCTTGGCTTCAGGCCTCCGCTTCAACTCAGAGAAGCCGACGCCCGGCGAGGCCTTACTCCCTCCCTCCCCGGGTTTGTTACCTTGTGTGGGGCTGGGAGCGGGGCGGGGCGGCGGGAAAGGGTCGGGGCGATTGAGTGCAGTGGTAGCGGCAGCAGCAGGGAAAACTTCCGCGGCGTCGACAACAAGGCAACTGGGTTTCAAAAGGAAGAAATCTGTCGGCGGTGGGGGGAGGGGAGCAAACCCCAGCACTGGAAGGAAGACGAGACAGGCTGGTGAAGTCTCGCGAGAGTTCCGAGCCCTCGCGAGAGGTCGCTCGACTTACGTGATCTCTCGCGTCTTCTGGGACGCCCGCTCTTACTCGCGTTAGTGGGCGGGGTTTAGTAAGAAGGAAATTGCGTGACTGGGCTGCGCCAGGCGCGGAATGTAAATTAGTTTTGCCTCACTTCCGGCTTGGAGTGGGTACCAGTTGGATTGTTGTGTTGGGGGCGGGTGCTGTGGAACCTTTCTAGAGGTTCATGGAGAGGTAATCGTTTGTGCGGTCTTCGGCCAGCGGCGCTAGGAAGTGGGAGGGACAGGGCTTAATGCGCTCTTTATATTAGTAGTTGGTTCTCAAAATGTAGTCCCTGGACCTGCAACGTCAGCATCACCTGGTAGTTTATTAGAAGTGCAAATCACCAAGCCCCACCTCAAACCTCCGAATCTAAACTCTAGGAATAGGACTCAGCAATCTATTTTAACAAGCCCTCCAGGTAATAGTCATGTCCACTCAAGTTTGAGAACCACTGCTTTATGTAGTAGTAAAAGCCTTAGAAACAACAGAAATGTATTGAAATTGTGGCAGTCCTATTGGAGAAGAGGTTGATTGACTTAAAACCTATTTTGTTAAAAACCTATATGATTATAATAAGGTTGTGAGGATGGCGCAGGACCGGGCAGTGTTCTCTTGTACGTAGGGGTCGCTATGAGTCGGAACCCACTCGACGGCACCTAACAACAACAACAAAAAATTAAATAGGTTGTATCTGTCTCTCCGGAACAATCTCTAAGTTATGGTAGGGTGAAAAGCGGAGTGTGTGAATGCTTCCCGTTTATGTTTAAAAAGAAATGTGCATTAAGTGTGTATGATTGTAATAATACTATTTCTGGACGAATACACAAACCTATCGAGGTTTGGAGCGGAAGCCAGATGCTTTCATTGATTGCCTATTTCACTGTTGACCCTTTTTATCTTTTTTCTTTCTTTTTTAACCGTACGCATATGTTACTTTTTCCAGTTAAAGGCTTGAGACACAAAGAGTCTGTATGGAGGCAAGGAAGGATTCTTTCCTGAGGGAGTGAGGGTCTGTTGCTGTACCCTTAAGAAGGCCGTTCTCTCAAATGGACTCTTTTGGACCTGGACTATGGAATCATCTTGCTTTAGCTCCTTTTTTCTTTCTTTTGAAGGGACCTTCCCCCGTTTATTTTTATATAATTTCAAACTTACAGAAAAGTTGGAAGAAAAATACAGAGAACTCATATTCCTTATCCAGATTCACAAGTGTTTTACATTTGGCACATTTGCTTTATCATTCTGTGTGTGTGTGTGTGTGTGTGGATTTGGCACATTTGCTTTATCATTCTGTGTGTGTGTGTGTTTGTACATATACATAAACCAAAAACCAAACCAGCTGCCTTGGAGTCTGCCCCACAGGGTTTCTAAGGCTATAAATCTTTACGAAGCAGACTGCCACATCTTTCTCCCCTAGAGCAGCTGGTGGGTTCAAACTGCTGACCTTTTAGGTTAGCAGCTGAGTGTTTAACCACTGTGCCACCAAGGATCCATATATGCATATACATACATACATGTAACCCTTACTGCATATATGTAGATGTATTTGTACATATATGCAAGGAGCTCTTTTGGTAGTGGATCTTGCATGTATGTACAAATATAAAGCAATCAGCGGTTCAAAATCACTGGGGGCTCTGCAGGAGAAAGATGTGGCAGTCTGCTTCTGTAGAGATTTACAGCCTTGGAAACCCTATGGGGTTGCTATGAGTCGGAATCGAATAGATGGCAATGGGTTTGGTACCTGTATGCATACTATTTTTTTCTGAACGTTTTAAGACACAACCAAGACATCACACACCTTTATCCATATATACTTCAATGCATATTCTTTACCAAAGGACATTCTCTTACATAGCCAAAGTGAGCTATCAAAATTAGGAAATTTAATATTAATAGTAGTACAATAATGTTGTTTGTTTATTCTTTTCCAGTCCAGGAGTCAGTCCAGGATCACTCGTTGCATTTAGTTGTCCTCTTTAGTCTCCTTTAATCTGAAGCAGTTCCTCAGCTTTTCTTTGTCTTTTCTGACATTGATATTTTTGAAGAATATAGCTCATTATTTTGTAGAATGTCTCTCAGTTTGAGTTTGACTGACATTGCCTTGTGATTACATTCTGGTTATACATCTTTGGCACGAATACCATAGAAGTCATGTGTTTTTCTCAATGCAGGAGGCTCAGGATGATGATTTGTCCCAATGGTGGTGGTGGTGGTGGTGGTAGGTTTGATCATTTGGTTAAAGTGATGTCTGTTTTTCCACTAGAATGTTGCTGCTTTCCCCTTTGTAATTAATTAATGATTCTGGGGAGTTATTTTGAGACAATGTAAAAGCCCTGTGCCTCATCAGACTTTCACCCATCAGTTTTAGTATCCATTGATGGCTTTCTACCTCCATCATTCTTTCTATAGTTATTATTGGGTTTTTACTGTAAGGAAGAGCTTTCCTATCTCATCTATCTATTTAGTTATATAAGAAGATACACGTGGATTCTTATTTATTCAATGGGGTATAGTTTATTACTATTTATTTTGATAAGTAATGATGCTTAATAAATCTGATGCTCAAATTGTTCTCAATTTGAGCCCTCCCTTTTTTTCTCTACATGCACACACTGCCCTCATATTGAGTCAGATAACATATTGTTATTGTTAGTTGCTGAGAGTCGATTCCAACTCATGGCAACCCCATGTATGCCTATAGAATGATGGAAACTAGATCAGGTTTGAGTGTGACTCGGGTGGCAGTCAACTTGAAGAACTGAAAATGCTGTAGAGGGCAGCAGTGTGCAGCTAAAATTAAGAGGGACGACAAACAGAAAGGATGTACCTTTCTGTAATAGAGTAGAAATTTGTTTAAAATAAAATGTAATTTTTAACAACTGCCCATATGCAGTTGTATATTTTCAGAATGCCAGGAGGCTCTTCACTGAATATAAAGTAAGCTTCACCCATTCCATTGCCGTTGAGTCAATTCCAACTCATAGCGACCCTATAGGACAGAGTAGAACTGCCCCGTAGGGTTTCCAAGGCTATATGTTTACAGAAGCAGACTGCCACATCTTTCTTCTGCAGAGTGGCTGGTGGGTTCAAACCTTTAGGTTAGCAGCTGAGTGCTTAACCACTGTGCCACCAGGGCTCCTTATATAAACTTTACAGTTGTATAAAAACCTCTCAAATGAGAACTCTTCCTGAACCCCCTAGATCAGAAAATAGGGAAATATTTATTACAAGATCAAGTAGAGACCTCTATACCATCTTGGTGGTTTTGTTTTCAGGATTGTGTTTAATATCTCCATTTGTGCAACATAGATTTTATTTGGAAAGAAAAACTATATTGGATTTTAGTTCTCACAAAGAGATAATAACAATTGTATGTGCCAGGCACTATTCTAAGCCCTTTACATGTATTCATTCCTTTAATTTTCATAACAATTCTATGTGCCGTTATAGACAAAACTGGAGCCAAGTGTAAACTTTGAGAGTAATACTTCAAATAGGCTTTCTGACTTACAGCCTCCTTTGAAGTGTCAAAATCTGCT